TTCCTCTAAAATAGTTTCTTTTCCTAGATTTTTGTAGTTCTATCATGTGGTAATTTTAGGCTTCCAGATATCAAACACTCGAATGCTTTTATTTTCCTCATTATTTATCATCAATCGGTTAGCAAATCCTGACATATCTGAATTGTGTTTTGTAGTAAGGTAATACTTTCCTATTATCCTTCTCTTTTAATTTTTTCAATGGCATTTATTGCTATCTAACATGCTGTATACGATTTTTATTGTTTGCTTCTCCCCACAATGTAAGTTCCATGAAGGCAGACATTTTTGTCTGTTTCTTACTGCCCTATTCCCAACACTTGGTATAGTAGTTATTGGATAAATTGAGAAATTGAGCACTTACTATGTGCCAGGCACTGTGCTCTGCATTTACATGCAGAATCTCATTTAATTTTTACCGCATTGGGAAGGTGTTTTATGTTATGATTTTAGATAATAAAACTTACAATTTTAAAAAGGTTAGGTGACCTGTCCAAAGTCACACAACTCGATGGTCACACAGTTTGTAGGTAATAAAGACATAGTTTCTTCCTAAACCTTGAAGCCTATCTATAGCCTTTGAATTATTTATACTCCTTAATCTAAATTTCAAGACATTCCATAATACCAAGACCCTTAACCTAGTTTTTTTCTATCAAAAACCTCCTGATCCAATCAAACTGGTCCACTTTATAGTCCTGGGAGCTTATAAATTTTCTCCGGATTTTGTTCCGGTAAACTCCCTATAGAAATCTTATCTAGCCTTTGACTCTGTGATTCAGTGCAACTTCTACCTCTTTAATCATTTCTGAATACATTCCATTCCAGGGTACAGTGAGGAACTTCTCTTCTAATTTGCTACATGGTTTTGGGGCTCTCCATCACGTGCCTTAAACCGTGTGGCATTCCTTGTATCTTGCTTGGAACACAAAAGTTTCAGTAGACGGAAGCCATTATAACTTTCTTGTATTCCCACCTGGGTGGATATGGCAGTTATCAAGGATGTGCGATACTTATATACATTACAGTGTTTATGTGCTTAACTTGGCTCCCAGTCCGACTGAAAACGCCTTAAAAAACGTAACATTTTAGTTGGGAAGGAAGCTCATACAGATATCAGGACCTATGAAAAGATGTGTACACCGTGGGAGTATGTAAATGTCCGCTGAGAAGAGCCTCGCAAGAGGGTTCCACTGACAGCACTGGGGTAGGGGGGGGTCTCGCTCCAAGCCTCGGTCGCAAAGTCTGAAGCGCTTTCGGCGCGCTGCTGTCCTTCCACATGGCCTCGGGCTCGCTTTTGCGCAGGGCCACGTGCCAATGTTTGTCTAATCGTGCCTCTGGCCCACTATAAACGGTTAATAACCGCCTTCCCTGACCAGGCCCCTACCCTCCATCTTTGTGCGGACGGGAGGGGTGAGGACGCCAGGTGTAGTGGCCCAGCCGAAACGCGGCGGGTAAATCCAAGACCCTAACCCCAACAGTCAAGTTTTCAAAAAACCCGCGCGTGACGCCCCAGGCCGCATCCGTTGGGAACGGCCCCCAGCGCGTCCCCGCTCGTCGCCACCCCCCGCGCCCCGCCCCCGCGGCAGCCCAGGGCGGGAGGAGGCGTACGGGTAGCCAGAAAACTCTGCACACAGGGGGCGCCGAGGCCAGCGCGCACTGGGGAGCGCGCCCGGCCAGCAGCTGCCGAAAACGGAAGTGGATGCAAGCGGATGGCTGTGATTGGCTGAACTGACATGTCTCTCAAGGGGCTGGCGCGAACGCCACTGCGGTGCTGGGTGAGGGGATAGGGCTAGGGGAGGGGGAAAAATCACTGGGAACAGCCGCGGGGGCTGGGGGCAAATGAATCGCAGAGGTTCGCGAACAGCAGAGAGAGTCCCTAGTGAGGGCGCACTGGGGATCCTGGGAGTGAAAGCAGAGCGGGAAAGGCGGCAGCGGGAGCAGCGTAGGCCGAGGGCTTGAATAGACCGCGGAGGGCGGGGAGCCCGTGACCGAGAGCGGCGCTGCAGCGCGGTAGGCGGGACTAATGAGGTCGAGGCGAGGATTGGTGGACTGCCCTGCGCTGCCGTACGTCGGCGGTGACGCACGCTTCGGGGAGGGTGCGCGCGCGTTCAGCGGCCTCTTTGTGTGGTGCACAGATAGGGGCGCGGAGGTGGCGGTGGAGGTAGCGGCGGCTTTGGTTGCCTTCCAGTTTCCTCGGCTCGTCCTCTAGCCGGCAACTCTCCCCTTCCCTCCCCCTTCCTCTCTTCCTTTTTCCCTTCCCTTCCCTTCTTCCCTTTCCCGTCGCTGACCGACGGGGGCGGCTCCAGCGACGGCTGGGCCCAAGTTGTGAAGAAACCTTAGCCAACCATCACGGCGACGGCTAAACCTCGGAGCTCCCAGGGCGGGGGCAAGGCCCGGGCGGTGGAGATGGAGAATTCCCAACTGTGTAAGCTGTTCATCGGCGGCCTCAACGTGCAGACGAGTGAGTCCGGCCTGCGCGGCCACTTTGAGGCCTTTGGGACCCTGACAGACTGCGTAGTGGTGGTGAACCCCCAGACCAAGCGCTCCCGTTGCTTTGGCTTCGTGACCTACTCCAATGTGGAGGAGGCCGATGCCGCCATGGCCGCCTCGCCTCATGCGGTGGACGGCAACACGGTGGAGCTGAAGCGGGCGGTGTCCCGGGAGGATTCGGCACGGCCCGGTGCTCACGCCAAGGTGAAGAAGCTCTTTGTCGGGGGCCTTAAGGGAGACGTGGCCGAGGGCGACCTGATCGAGCACTTCTCGCAGTTTGGCACCGTGGAAAAGGCCGAGATTATTGCCGACAAGCAGTCTGGCAAGAAGCGTGGCTTCGGCTTCGTGTATTTTCAGAATCACGACGCGGCAGACAAGGCCGCGGTGGTCAAGTTCCATCCGATCCAGGGCCATCGCGTGGAGGTGAAGAAGGCTGTCCCCAAGGAGGATATCCACTCTGGTGGGGGCGGAGGCGGTTCCCGGTCCTCTCGTGGCGGCCGCGGCGGCCGAGGTCGGGGCGGTGGTCGTGACCAGAACGGCCTGTCTAAGGGCGGCGGCGGCGGTTATAACAGCTACGGTGGTTACGGCGGCGGCGGCGGCGGCTACAACGCCTACGGAGGCGGAGGCGGCGGCGGTTCGTCCTACGGTGGAAGCGACTACGGTAACGGTTTCGGCGGTTTCGGCAGCTACAGCCAGCACCAGTCGTCCTATGGGCCCATGAAGAGCGGCGGCGGCGGCGGAGGAGGAGGCAGCAGCTGGGGAGGTCGCAGCAACAGTGGACCTTACAGAGGTGGCTATGGCGGTGGGGGTGGCTATGGAGGCAGCTCCTTCTAAAAAAATTTTTTTTAATGCTTGGGAGTGGCTATAGGGGTAGCTCTTTTCAACCACCCAACTAGGGTCAACTCCCAAGTCCTTTTCGCTCCCACCGCCTTCCCCGTTTTGCCCTTGGGGGAGCCTCTTCTAAGGCTGCTTACCCTTGGGGGTGTTGCCCTATCTGCCTGCCACCTCTCTCGTCTCTCCCTCTGAAGATGGACTTGGCCCCACATACACATTTTTGTGTTACAGTCATTGATGGACTCTATTTTTTTATTATTACTTGGACTTTGGTCGTTTTTATACTAGCAAAATGTCTTGTTTTAATTTGTGTTTTTTTTGGGGGGGAGGGAGTGAACTTGCTGATTCTGTAGCAAAACCTGGGCGGGGGTTGGGGGGGTTTAGTTTACTTTGTTGTAAGGACTTGATATCTGGCTACAGCGTTTTCTATGAAATCTCCTTGGATCCCATGCCCGAAATTTGGAAGCATATGTACAAAAATCATTTTTACGTTTTATTTTTAATAAATCATTGTGTTTGACCGTACATGTCTAACATTTTTTTTCTAGGATCCATTCCGTACCGTTTTAAGGGTAATTTTTCCTGTTAATTCTTAATTCTTGATGTGTACTTAGAGAAACTTTTAAAAGGTCCTGTGAGGTTTTTTTTTTTTTTTTCCTTCTTGCTGTTGCCCAGGTAGTGATGTGTTGAATTTTATCCCTTACAGGTAAAACATTTGAAGTGGTGGATGTGGCTTTTTAAAATCTTTAAAGTTTTTCCTACATCCATCTCTTGTACTAAGTGATTTGCTTATCATTTTGACATGGGTGGTCACTTCTATGAGAATTTAATTCAAAATATGTACTGTGTAGTTCTAAAGAAATAGTTTGTGTTAAGCATGTGTTTTCATTCATATAAACTGTTTTAAAAAATTCAGATGGCCTAATTTCATCCCTCTTACTGGTTTGTCTGTAATGAATGGTTACAAATAAGGGTTATATTTTACCCTCAAACTTTAAGTGCATTTTTGTATTTTCAGAGCAGGTTTAAATGTTTTTTTTTTCCCTATAGCTGAAATGTTGTCCTCCTGGAAATCCTTCCCCTAACTTTTGTGGCACCATCTACTGGCAGAATGTCAGTATATCTGCAAAACAGTTGGTTTGAAAACTTGTTCAGGACAGTTACATCAGATTTTAGAAGTTTTGCCATCAAAAATCTGTGCAGACTTTGGTTATACATTTACTTGTAACTAAGATGGGTTTTACAGGAATGTAGTTAATGGTCCATATCCCGACTGCCCTTTCTACATGAGGTTTGAAAATGTAAACTGCTATGCATAGCTTGGGCAGTGGCCCCACATTGCTATGATAACTAATGAACCAGCTTCATGTACTGGTATCTTAGGTGCAAGTTGTAAAGCAAAATATCTGTGTATTCTGCTTGGTTAACAAATGTATATTTGTAGCCCTTTCATGCAATAGAATTCAAGTTGTTTATAAAAAGCAAAACAAAACAATGGTATAGGAGAAAATTGCCTTCCTGGATAGACATAGAATAGCAACGTTTATGGATATCACAAATAAAGAATTCAATTCTTTACATGATTGAGTGAGAGTATGTATAACCTGGTTGGTGGGTTCAGAATACCTTTTAATCTAAGTACCTACATTTGATTTAATGATACGGTAAAATATTTGATTGGAATTTTGCTTAAGGCTTCTTAGTAGTCATTTTGACAAAGGGTAGCTGATACTTGGTACAGGTACTTTTAGTACCTCTACAACAAATGGGATAGATGTGTTTGCATATTGAATAAATTAACAAGATAGTCAAGTTTTGCATTACAAATGGTTTTACAAATTTGCTTAAATTTCTGTTTTCACTCTTACTGAAATGCATCATACTGCGTTTCTTCATGTGGTGATTTGGTCTAGCTTTTGCGGGGAGTGGGGCTCTAAGATACAGAAAATGATATGCTTAAATTTTTTATTGTAATTATTGTGCTTGTGTTTTACTCAGTTTTAGGAGGAAGATCTGTTTCTTCTGGTTCAACTGGAATAGTCCACCTTCTGGAGGGTTTTCAGAATTTAACAAGGTTATTGTCGTTTGTATTTCCCACGTAGTGATGTGTGAAAAGTTATGTAAAAGGATTTCCTAATTAGAAAAGTGGCTTAGTGTTCATGGTATATCATCGCTTTGTTGTCATGTATCTACCTTTACAAATTTCTTATCTGGATTGGTATTCAGTGAAGGCAGAAATAGTGGTCTTTAGTCTTTCCAGATTTGGCGTGTGGGACTTACTTGTTTGTTATGGTTTCACTTTTTTCACCTGTTAAGATTTACCTGAACATTACTACTTCAAATTTAATCAAGACTTGGGGAGGAAGTAGTACAGAACCTAGTCAGCATTGAATATAATTTTTATGCAATGCTTGAATCTAATTTTGAAAGATTAGCAAAATAAAAATTTTTTTTTGTCTTCCTGTTGTGAAGAACTTCTGCATTTACAGTTTTTTAGTAAAATTCAGTGTTAATCATTAGTTGGAAGAGGTTTGAAAGATTGAAAGTAATTTGGAGTCTTAAAAAGCTTGCAAATGGTTGACATTCATAGTGGTTACAAATCAGAATGATATACTGATAGCTTCATTCTGTAGCTTAGTGATTTAGAACAGAATATTTAAATCTTCATAATGAATTTTTGTTTTCAAGTGAGGTTAAAGCTTTGAGGATACTTAAGAATTTTCTATTTCTGATTAATTACCTCAAGAACAGAAATGGCAGTGTCAGTTATTTGATTTGTAGCTTTGTTTACCTTTAAGTGTGCTTAATACTCTCAAATTTGAGAATTTGCGTTTTAAACTAAATTTACCTATGTTTTTGCTGATTAAAAGTGGGCATTTGGATGTTGAGTCAATTTAAGCAAAACTGCATCTAGGCAATGTAAGGATTATTCCCCCAAAGACAGTATTTGCACTTAGAAGAGGGTAAGTTAAGTCTCTTTCTTCCGTTTTAACCAACGTACTGCATCAGTGTTAAGATTTTGGTCACTGGGAATATAGTTTCTCTTCCCTGTTTTAGAAGGCTTTTTTTATTAAGTGGAGCAACAAAGATTGTCTCTAAACCAGGGTAAGACAGGGAATGCCTTTTCCTTGGTGTCTTATTGCAGGTTGCTTTGCTGTACCTTTGTCTAATGTTTTCTATTAAAAGTGAATGTTGTAAAAACTTCTTTCCAATAAAAATTCCCTTTCTACCGTGTTATTTTAAAAAATTATAATATTGCATGTTTGGCATATTTTTGTATTTTAAAAATTAAAATATTGCATGTTTGGTCAAATGCTGCCAAGTAACATTTGGCAATGTTAACTAGGAAATAGAAAAGAGAAATTGTACTGAATGTTGAGACTGGTGTATTTTTAAAAGTGAGAATTAATGTTTAAATAACTGCTTAAAATCTAAACAAAGAATGGTAAAAAGCCTACCAATATGAGGAAATTATCTTCTCAAGGATAATCCTTGTTAATAGGTGTATGTTCAGCAAGGTCTTTTGTATGTACCTACATTTTAAAAGTAGAATAAAATAGTTCAGCAGTTTATATGATTGGCATTCTCATATCAGAACAAATAGACCTTCCTCATCCTCTTTAATGCCTGTATAATGTTCCATAGCATGGCTGTACCATAATGATTGATGGACATTTCTTGCTATTACGAGTAATGCAGTGATTGTTGGAATTGCACATCATGTTCTTGCTTACCACGTATACACTTAGTTATTGAGATGGCTCACTCAAGTTAAATGTGTTGGATAACTAGAACACAGCAGTTCTCTGGTATCATGAGTATATTTTTGTTCTCAGTATATATTCAGGGAAAGGTACATGCTCATTGGCAGCCTTGTTAAAACCTTAGGGTATATTCAACTAAAACATTTTACTGAAAAATTTCAAAGCTAGATAATACATGATAAAACAGTTAATGGCCTATAAAGACACTTATGTTGCTCCTTCCCTGTTTTCTCCCAGCACTTGGAGATGATGTATGTTAACAGTTTGCCTATTTCTAGGTCTTTTTATTTGCAGGGAGATACATTTATCTTTATTTTAGGAACAAGTATTGGGTTGTTTTAGACATACATACATTCGTAAGTATTTTAACTTCAAAGACCACCCGTATGTGTACATAATCGCTCTGTATCATAAAACTGGTATACTATAGTATAGATGCACCGTAGTTTATTGTTTAGTATGTTTCTAAACTACTTTTGCAGACTTTGTGTTGCCATTTGCAACATACCAAAAAAGAGCCGTCCCTGCTCACAAGTGTACTTTCAATTTTTGTTTGAGTAGTGGGAATTCCAATGATTGTGATAGATTGTGGGCAGTTTAGTTAGAGATGGGTATAAGCAGTTGTGTTGACTTGGTGGGTCAAGAAAACATTTGGGCTAGTCTTGATATTTAGACTATGTAGATGAGTTGGCAGAGGGCATGCTACTATCATGCCAATACACAGCATGATGTAATGGGCTCCTTACATTTTTTCTTACGTTGCTAGGCCACAGAGACTTCAGAAGTACATCATCCATTTTTATTGCTTTGCATTATTTTATGGCTTACGGTTTTTGCTAAGTTTTAATAGCAAAATCAGCTTAAGGGATATGGGCAGATTCAACGATAGAAGTACAAGTCAGTTGAGATCTTGAATGGTAAATGATGATCACTGTAAAAGTTTCTATGAGAAGTATAATTCATAGTTTGGAGACCCCCTTTATTAAGCCATAGTTAGCAATATTCTCTTCTATTTTTTTCCTTTGATATATCTTCCCTATATTTTGACTTATTAGCTGGTTTTAAAATAGAATTTTGTTAGAAAACGTTTGCAGTAAGTAAATCGGTTTCTGACATTTGCTATAATTGGAAACAATATGTTCTCTGTAAATTTTGTTTTAAAAATAAAGCTAACAGTTGTTTAATTTGGCAGGGGGAGGCAGGGTTAGTTTGAAGAATAAATGGGCATGAATTACTAGCTTCAGATTAAATTGAGTTTAACACATCGTGAATGTTCTTGATGCTTAAAATTTAGTCTCTTACTAAGTATAATGTGTGGAAGTATATTGTTGGGAAATAGGATTTATTGCTCATTTTTAAGACAGGCATGCAACTGGTTTGGGAAAATTGGTCTTTGACATTGGAACCTGCTTGTGGGTGAACTTCATATTCTTCCTAAATGAGAAATTAAATGCCATCAGATAAAACATAAAAAAGGAGATACTAGAAAGCTGCTTTTTAAAAAAGATATCTCATCAGGGAGGCTAAAAGGGCGGTTGAGTCACTTGTACTGACCTATCCCACATACTTTTTATTAATGAACTTAACACTTTTGTTGATAATTTATTAATAATAAACTTTCAGTTGGAGCGGAATGATTTGCATCTTCAGAGAAGAAAAAGATTCAAAATTTCCTTTTTTAGCTGTGTGCTCCCTTCTCAGGCAGATTTTCTTTGGCTCCTTTAATTCTTTTATCACTGCATATGATTTGTTTAAAAAAAAACAAAACCCCAAAACATGTCTGAAATGGGTTTTGTTCTAAAATTATCTGACATGAACTTGTACTGTTTTGACAGTATGCTTATATCCCAGCATTTTCTGTCAGTTTCATCAGGGATTGATTACCTTACTTGTGCAAAACATCTCAGATCTGGAGATAACTGCAGTGGGACAAACACGGTTCCTGTTGTCAAGTAACTTGCATTCTGTTGGAGAGTCTTTCTTTTGAAATGCATCCTTTTCAGCATTGTGGGATCGTCTCAGATTGTTCACACTGTACAGACAAATTGGAGTTAGTCCCATCATCATTTAAGTATACTCTGGTTAAAATGAAGGCTTCACTCTTTCACTGGTTTTATTTGGATACCATATGAAAGGTTTATTTTTCTTTGATGCTTTTGTTGCTAATGTAATTAGCCTCAGAGTAGGCATCTGATTTAGTATTTCATAGTCCTTAATGGCAGAGAAGGCAATGGCACTCCACTCCAGTACTCTTGGCTGGAAAATCCCATGGACGGAGGAGCCTGGTAGGCTGCAGCCCATGGGGTCGCGAAGAGTCGGACATGGCTGAGCGAGTTCACTTTCACTTCTCACTTTTATGCATTGGAGAAGGAAATGGCAACCCACTCCAGTGTTCTTGCCTGGAGAATCCCAGGGATGGGGTCGCACAGAGTTGGACACGACTGAAGTGACTTAGCAGCAGCAGTAGCAGTCCTTAATGGTGGAGAAGGACATGGCAACCCACTCCAGTACTCTTGCCTGGAAAATCCCATGGACAGAGGCGCAGGTAGGATACAGTCCATGGGGTCACGAAGAGTTGGACATGACTGGGTGACGTCACTTTCACTTTCATGCATTGGAGAAGGAAATGGCAACCCACTCCAGTATTCTTGGGTGGAGAATCCCAGGGACGGGGGAGCCTGGTGGGCTGCCGTCTATGGGCTTGCACAGAGTCGGACACGACTTGCAGCAGCAGCAGCAGTCCTTAATGACATAAATTTTGGTGTCAAATAGACCAGGTTCTTTTCTTGACCCATGACTTTCTTGTTCCATGAACTTGAACACATGGTCCCGAACCTGTTTCCTTGTGTTTGAAAAGGAGAGACTACTGTTAATATCTGTCTCAGGATTGTGAACAAATTATGCTTTAAACTGAACAAATTATACTTTAACAACAAATTCGGCGAAAGTATACATGTAAAGGGTATACTATCATTGTTGGTACATAGTGAAGTTAATATTACAACTTTGGTTGAGAGGAGTGTACCTTTATTTCATCACCCCCCTCCCCCCCGCCAACCACAAAGTATTTGCACAATTAATGAAGTGAATGAATAGCCATCTTAAAAAAACTACTGACATAAGTGTGTGTAGTCCATAAAGCACTCTCAGTATCTGAGATTTGGTTTTTAACCTAGGCTTTGCTCTTGATTTGCTGGGTGAGCTTGGGCATGGGAGCCCTCTATTCCTCTGCTTCACCTCTAGTAGGAGAGGTATGAGCCATGTTAGCTGTCTGTGTCTATTTATTACAAGAAAGTTACAAGTAATGTGT